CCCCCATGCCTACTGTGGAACTACAAGTCCCAGCATGCCATGGAATAGATGCCATTGCTGGGCTCTGTGATATAGACGCTGACACAGGCAGCATATGGAAAGCTGAGAATATACGAATGGCTGGCGTCAGCATTGTGCACACTAAGAGAGCAACTGAAACAGGAAGTGGGAGGGGGTGACAGGAAGTGGCAACTGTCGCATTAACACATTGAACAATAAAATGCCCCGCAGCGTATTCACCATCACCAGAACCTCACAGATGCAGCAATACAATCGTACTGGCCAAATCCAACCACCCCCCACCCCATCCAACCCCAGCCCCCGCACGGCCAGCATCCAGCAAACACTGCAACTGTGCTGAAGGCAAAAGATGCCGGAAATTTAAAGCTGAACTCCGGCACTGAAACTCTCATTCAGATATATTCCTCAATAGTCACGGAGGATATAAATCTGCTTTGTGTGCTCCAAACACCTTCACAGATCCAGATATTACCCTGTAAAAGGTAGAAGTCTCATCATCACTGCGCTGGTCATAGCCTGTGAGGATAGCTGAGCAATGGGAGGGGCATAGCAGGCTCCACCCACTACAGAAACCTACATGGGGCGGAGACAAGACCAGTTACCCTGCACAAGGAGAGAGAGCGGCACTGTGCGGTCTTTATTACAGGAGGGGGCGGAGACAAGACCAGTCACCCTGCACAAGGAGACGTAGCGGAGTCCTCAGAGAACCTGACAATGCGCTGAGTCCCGCGCTGCAGAGCTCTAGAATGGCCGCGCAGTCTCTGACTTAAAGGAACACTCCTTCGGAGGAAAAACGCTGCCAGTGAACATTTCTCATACTTCATTTCTCTGAGCTCCCGGCCAATCACAGGTCTCCGGGGAGCCGATATATCTGCCAATTATTATTTATTTCTGTCCATCCAGCCCTAAAATGTATACAGGCCTGCCAGGCAGTGCAGTCAGGTGGAGGGCCTGATATTTCTCTACTGCAGTTCACAGGTCTGTTCCCTCCCCCGGCCTGTGAAAGCAGAAGCAGCAGATTGATGAGCTCGTCTCTCTGCCCTCTCCTCCCATCAGCGTGCTCTTTTTTAGCCTGTCATGATGTGATGATGTCAATCACCCAAATTGCTTCTCACAGCCGGAGATCATGTGACTTTTGTTGAGGTTTTACACACAGGACGCACACACAGCACACACATGGGGCATACACAGGACGCACACACATGGGGCATACACAGGACGCACACACATGGGGCATACACAGGACGCACACACATGGGGCATACACAGGACGCACACACATGGGGCATACACAGGACGCACACACATGGGGCATACACAGGACGCACACACATGGGGCATACACAGGACGCACACACATGGGGCATACACAGGACGCACACACATGGGGCATACACAGGACGCACACACATGGGGCATACACAGGACGCACACACATGGGGCATACACAGGACGCACACACATGGGGCATACACAGGACGCACACACATGGGGCATACACAGGACGCACACACATGGGGCATACACAGGACGCACACACATGGGGCATACACAGGACGCACACACATGGGGCATACACAGGACGCACACACATGGGGCATACACAGGACGCACACACATGGGGCATACACAGGACGCACACACATGGGGCATACACAGGACGCACACACATGGGGCATACACAGGACGCACACACATGGGGCATACACAGGACGCACACACATGGGGCATACACAGGACGCACACACATGGGGCATACACAGGACGCACACACATGGGGCATACACAGGACGCACACACATGGGGCATACACAGGACGCACACACATGGGGCATACACAGGACGCACACACATGGGGCATACACAGGACGCACACACATGGGGCATACACAGGACGCACACACATGGGGCATACACAGGACGCACACACATGGGGCATACACAGGACGCACACACATGGGGCATACACAGGACGCACACACATGGGGCATACACAGGACGCACACACATGGGGCATACACAGGACGCACACACATGGGGCATACACAGGACGCACACACATGGGGCATACACAGGACGCACACACATGGGGCATACACAGGACGCACACACATGGGGCATACACAGGACGCACACACATGGGGCATACACAGGACGCACACACATGGGGCATACACAGGACGCACACACATGGGGCATACACAGGACGCACACACATGGGGCATACACAGGACGCACACACATGGGGCATACACAGGACGCACACACATGGGGCATACACAGGACGCACACACATGGGGCATACACAGGACGCACACACATGGGGCATACACAGGACGCACACACATGGGGCATACACAGGACGCACACACATGGGGCATACACAGGACGCACACACATGGGGCATACACAGGACGCACACACATGGGGCATACACAGGACGCACACACATGGGGCATACACAGGACGCACACACATGGGGCATACACAGGACGCACACACATGGGGCATACACAGGACGCACACACATGGGGCATACACAGGACGCACACACATGGGGCATACACAGGACGCACACACATGGGGCATACACAGGACGCACACACATGGGGCATACACAGGACGCACACACATGGGGCATACACAGGACGCACACACATGGGGCATACACAGGACGCACACACATGGGGCATACACAGGACGCACACACATGGGGCATACACAGGACGCACACACATGGGGCATACACAGGACGCACACACATGGGGCATACACAGGACGCACACACATGGGGCATACACAGGACGCACACACATGGGGCATACACAGGACGCACACACATGGGGCATACACAGGACGCACACACATGGGGCATACACAGGACGCACACACATGGGGCATACACAGGACGCACACACATGGGGCATACACAGGACGCACACACATGGGGCATACACAGGACGCACACACATGGGGCATACACAGGACGCACACACATGGGGCATACACAGGACGCACACACATGGGGCATACACAGGACGCACACACATGGGGCATACACAGGACGCACACACATGGGGCATACACAGGACGCACACACATGGGGCATACACAGGACGCACACACATGGGGCATACACAGGACGCACACACATGGGGCATACACAGGACGCACACACATGGGGCATACACAGGACGCACACACATGGGGCATACACAGGACGCACACACATGGGGCATACACAGGACGCACACACATGGGGCATACACAGGACGCACACACATGGGGCATACACAGGACGCACACACATGGGGCATACACAGGACGCACACACATGGGGCATACACAGGACGCACACACATGGGGCATACACAGGACGCACACACATGGGGCATACACAGGACGCACACACATGGGGCATACACAGGACGCACACACATGGGGCATACACAGGACGCACACACATGGGGCATACACAGGACGCACACACATGGGGCATACACAGGACGCACACACATGGGGCATACACAGGACGCACACACATGGGGCATACACAGGACGCACACACATGGGGCATACACAGGACGCACACACATGGGGCATACACAGGACGCACACACATGGGGCATACACAGGACGCACACACATGGGGCATACACAGGACGCACACACATGGGGCATACACAGGACGCACACACATGGGGCATACACAGGACGCACACACATGGGGCATACACAGGACGCACACACATGGGGCATACACAGGACGCACACACATGGGGCATACACAGGACGCACACACATGGGGCATACACAGGACGCACACACATGGGGCATACACAGGACGCACACACATGGGGCATACACAGGACGCACACACATGGGGCATACACAGGACGCACACACATGGGGCATACACAGGACGCACACACATGGGGCATACACAGGACGCACACACATGGGGCATACACAGGACGCACACACATGGGGCATACACAGGACGCACACACATGGGGCATACACAGGACGCACACACATGGGGCATACACAGGACGCACACACATGGGGCATACACAGGACGCACACACATGGGGCATACACAGGACGCACACACATGGGGCATACACAGGACGCACACACATGGGGCATACACAGGACGCACACACATGGGGCATACACAGGACGCACACACATGGGGCATACACAGGACGCACACACATGGGGCATACACAGGACGCACACACATGGGGCATACACAGGACGCACACACATGGGGCATACACAGGACGCACACACATGGGGCATACACAGGACGCACACACATGGGGCATACACAGGACGCACACACATGGGACATACACAGGACGCACAGCACACGCACTGGGCTCACCTCTGCTGCCTCTCTTGTACATGTTGGGCTCTTTGGGGTCTCCTATCCAGCTGTAGTCGGTTGGCATGGACACGGGTCGGAGGTCACCTGCACAGAGACAGGAAGAGCCGTCAATGACGTGACATGGGAGCAAAACGCACAAAACTCCCAAATTCACATTTCGCGGGTCAGCGAGGACATAACGCAGTAACATAACGCAGGAACTGCGGCATCATTGTACACATAACATTCTTCTTCCTATCCCGGACCGGCAATGGAGCGCGGGGGAGGAGTAGAAGTTCTGCCGTCTATGGCTCCCTTAGAAAGATTGACCCCCACTTCCTGTCCTGGCTGACAACTGTTTTGCCAGACAGGAAGTGAGGGGAAAATAGCGCAGGCCCCATTCACACCAGAGCGTAGCAAATCCTGCGACATGCGTTCCGTCTTTCTTTCCCACGTCTGAATGTGCGCAAACCAAGTTTTCCCGGCTGCGTTTGGGGCGCCGCTAATTGGTAATGGCGCTGCGAGTGCATTTGGCGTTTTGTGACGCGCTCTGTGCGTTTGTCACGCATTCATGGCATGCAATGGCGGGAACAGGGACACCGACAGGAATACAAATCTAAATGGGGCTCCAGCCTCCCGCTACTTTTTTAAAAATCTTTGTCTGTGTTACGGTTACAGAGTTTCCGTCACTTCCTGCCCGGTGAAACTTGTTGTCACCAGGACAGGAAGTGACAGTAAATCTCACTAACTGAGTCACA